GTGACGAATGCTGAACCAGGTCTGTAAATAAAACCCCTTTGGTTTAATTTACATCAAATGTTTGCAATAAAATTCCTTTTCCATTTTTGATTGTTCTAAAAATTTGAAAACCAACACTTACATGAGATTAGAAGGGGTCACAGTGAAAGCTGTTGTTGTTTCTGGAAGCACTGTTGTAGTGGTTGGCAGACGTAGCTCATTTAGGAAGCTGACTGGTTGTATGACATCTCCATCCTGGAAGGTGTAGTCCATCCTGCCATCAATCTGGTTTGAAGAGCTCCTACAGGAAAAGCAGGAGAGATACTATATTTGCAAAGTGCTTAAATTCCTATGCATAATACAACTTTAATGAGACTTTTAGATTTTTTTCAAATATTGGCTTGTTTTGGCTTGTTTTAATGCCCTGAAAGTCATGAGTCACTAAATAAACATTGTGGATGAAAAATACAATTCATAGTTAGAAATCAGATTGCATCTTACGTAAAATTGGAAGACTTGGGTTCAAAAACATTCTCGCCAGGTTCATTCAGAAGAGTGTTCAGCTGCAGGACAAAAATCAAACCATTCATCAACCTCTGGGGAAGAATGTCATTGGACGTAAACCTTTTTGTACTGTTTATTTCTAATGTTTACCGCATTATTGATGATATCCTGCACTTGCTGTTTGGTGTTGCCTCTGTGCTCAGGGTCCTCTGGCATGCTGATGTTAACCAGGTTAAATGTAATGACCACAGCATAGGAGGTTTCTGAGATTTCTGTGTGGAAACATGTTAATTTTTATTTGGCAAAATATTGTCATTCATATCAGTTTTACTCAACCCCGTTTCAAAAGGTTTTAAAACTTCAAACATGTCACTTACTCTCATAGGTGACATTCACCACCTGCACTGATTCACTGAGCTGTGACTCTCTGGAATTACGGAGAGTGTTGATGGCGCTGAGGACCAGAGCTTCACTGGGGACTGGAGATGAGGAGTTGAACACCAGCTTGCTTGTGACCACCGCTGTACCAGATCTGCAAAGAGGATCACTTTTGATTAATGTGGTTCACTTTTTGTGCTAAAATTATGAATCCATAACAGACTGCATTTAAATGGAATCTCAATACTTGCATTAGGCTTGAAGAAGTCAAAGGGAAATTGGTTATTGTGTCTGGAAACATTGTAGTATGGGTCAGTTCTGCAATGAAAGGGAGAAACATACAATAATATTTAGATTTTGAGGAAAAGTTGTTGTAACTGTCAAGAGTATTTTTCATTTTGTATAGACATACCAGACTGTGATCGAAGCTCATTTAGGAAGCTGACTGGTTGTATGACATCTCCATCCTGGAAGGTGTAGTCCATCCTGCCATCAATCTGGTTTGAAGAGCTCCTACAGGAAAAGCAGGAGAGATACTATATTTCTAAAGTGCTTAAATTCCTATGCATAATACAGCTTTAATGAGACTTTTAGATTTTTTTCAAATATTGGCTTGTTTTAATGCCCTGAAAGTCATGAGTCACTAAATAAACATTGTGGATGAAAAATACAATTCATAGTTAGAAATCAGATTGCATCTTACGTAAAATTGGAAGACTTGGGTTCAAAAACGATCTTGCCAGGTTCATTCAGAAGAGTGTTCAGCTGCAGGACAAAAATCAAACCATGCATCAACCTATGGGGAAGAATGTCATTGGACGTAAACCTTTTTGTACTGTTTATTTCTAATGTTTACCGCATTATTGATGATATCCTGCACTTGCTGTTTGGTGTTGCCTCTGTGCTCAGGGTCCTCTGGCATGCTGATGTTAACCAGGTTAAATGTAATGACCACAGCATAGGAGGTGTCTGAGATTTCTGTGTGGAAACATGTTAATTTTTATTTGGCAACATATTGTCATTCATATCAGTTTTATTCATTCCCGCTTCAACACATTTTAAACCTTAAATCATGACACTTACTCTCATAGGTGACATTCACCACCTGCACTGATTCACTGAGCTGTGACTCTCTGGAATTACGGAGAGTGCTGATGGCGCTGAGGACCAGAGCTTCACTGGGAACTGGAGATGAGGAGTTGAACACCAGATTGCTTGTGACCACTGCTGAACCAGGTCTGTAAATAAAACCCCTT